TCATAAAACAGTATACGAAAGCAACAACATTATTTTAATCATGAAATCTCGTAAGCTGTATAACATAATACTTATCACACCTTTTGTAATTCAATCATTACACAACATATTTTTCATCTTTTACCAGCCTACTAGTATCCATGGGGATCCATAGGGGTCCTGCTACCCGTGAACCCTTAACGCTTGTAATCAGATTTCCAGGGCCGTCCCCATACTCCGTCCGGTATGGGCGCCAAACTATAAACCTCAATACCCCGTCCGGTATGAGGGTGAAACGGGCCGTCCCCATACCCCGTCCGGTATGAGCGCCAAAACACATAGGGTCTCCATACCCCGTCCGGTATGAGAGACCACAATCCCGGTAGGGTTTCATACGGACCCGGTCCGTCCACCATCTCCTAAGATATCTAGTCAGGCTGATCACATTATACAATTATCAATTTACATAACCTTTCATTCCCCTTTTCCTCAGTCAGCATCATCAATTCACACACAAACAAGCAAAATAGTAATTTATGCCAAACAAGACAACATACAGCATCGATTTCTCAGTCATTCAACCCATAATCAATAAAACAGTAAAATATGCACACGAAACTATGAAATGAAAACATCAGACCTCATACTGCATTTAAAACTGTAAAATAGGCCAAATAACAGTTAACCGACAAACACACCAGACTCGGGCTCCATTAGCGACCTTAAGCAATTTCATACATTTGTTGATTCAAGAAATACCGTTTTATCATTATTGAACTTTAATACCGTGATAGAAAATAGGGTGAGGGGTCCTTACTCGTTTCAGGGTCCGAACACGGCTTCACAGTGCGCCTACAGGCTGTTCCTAATTTTCCCTGAATTTTTTTCAGGGAACTGAAACGCACTACTGGTACCTGCACGTGTTCCAAAAAATCCCAAATTAGGCCCAGGGCCCCTTTTTGGCCAATATCGCAATTCCGGCACGGCGGCTCCGCCGTGCTCCGGCGACGGCGGCGCCGCTTGCGGCGGCGATTCGCCTCGGGTTGGCTGTTTTCGGTCGAATTCGGCCACACTTGCATCGGTCCTTGCGATAAAACAACCCTAGGGCCCTCGGGGGGCCAAAAAATTACAGAAAACCGAAGCTTACCGGCGGCGGTGCTCTCGGGTGCGGCGGCTCTCCGGTGAGGTTCGTGTTTTGGTAATTCGGCTCCGATCAACCTGTAGAGAAAAGAATGGTGATCACGGTGATATAAAAATTGCATCAAACGGAGGCCGGGAAGGGCCTCATCGAAGGCAAAAACCGAGGAGGGGCGCGGCGGCACCGCTGAGTTTCGGCAGTGTTTTTCGGCCGTTTGACCGGGATTTTGCTCCGATTTGGCCACAGGGGAAATCAGCGTGGAAAAAACGAGTCGGGGGGTATGAAAATTTACCTCGATCAGCGGTCGGAAATCTCCCCGGTGCGGCGGTAGGTGGCGGCGGCCGGCTTCTCCTGCGTCTGGTTCGTCTTCTCCGGCGAGGGCAGGCGGCTAGGGTTTTTGTGGGTAGGTGTGGGGGTCTATTATACTCTTTGCTTTTAATCTCAGCCGTCCATTTTGATTTAATCTGGGCCGTCCGTGCGCACGCTTGATCTAGGCCGTCCGATCGCGCGTACGCGGATCGCCAACGTGGCCCGTCCGCGGTCGATGTGGTCTTGCCTCGTGGCAGGTCCTGGTTGGCCAGGACTGCTGACTGGGTCTGCTGACGTGACGTTTTTTTTTTAACTTAATAAAAATATTTAATAATAAAATAACGAATTTTCCAAATTTTCCGGGCGTTACATAAAATTTATATAAAATCGTTACTCTTATTCTCTCATTTCATAACTCCTTCTTTCTTTAAGATGCTTTTTTTAGTTTATTTGTCACAAGTTCATCCATCATCATATGTTTAACAAATTTTACTAATTCATATTTTTTCCCTCATATTTTATTGATCTTATACGTGCTAAATAGTCATGATTCTAATATATAATTTTATATTTATTAATAAATTAAATACAATTCACTATTTTTATTTTATTTATACTTTTCTTCAATAAATAAAAAAGTTAATTTAGTTATTATTAGCATGTTTTTACTTTCTCAACTAAAAAAATAATAATTTTTAAGCAATATTCAATTTACTAAATTTGTAATAACTCGTTGGAATGAAACCACATTTTATCAATAAATCTCCACCAACATATTAATAAATAACACTCTTAAGCTTATTATTGAATTAAATATTTTAAATCAACTGATTCTATAGCATTACTTAAATTTTCGGTTGATTTGCTAATAATGTTAAAAAAATGGATACTGTTATAATGGATACTTCCATTATTGTTAGAGGTTTATGATTCACCATTCAAATCTCCATTAATAATTATTTGACTGTTATAAGTAAATCACAATCTATCATCTGAATCTCTGCGGTGCTTAGCTTTCTTCTTTGAAAAATCTGTGGTCTTAATTACACTTCTACTTTCTAGTTTCTACAGCGAAACCACAGTCGGATCGAACAGTCTTCTTAGCAACGCCGATGACGATGCCTTTCCATTCATCTTCTTCGAGAAAGACCAGCAACAGGTAACGCCGTTATATTCATCTTCTTCGAGCAGTGATTTCGAACAACCAGATTCATGCATATATAACGCTTGATTCTTGCTGGCATCACTGGCTTTGATGCCCTAAACAATGACCGGCCGCGAAATTTCGACGGCGATATTATAAATTCCGGCTCGGGCTATGTCCTCGAACGATCCGGTAACATCGGCGGGTTGCGAAATTTGACCAGATGGACTTCAGTCAAACCAGATTGGGCCTAAAATGCGATTGTGTTTAAATAATCAGGCCGTAGGAGTGTGTGACATTTTTGGGTTCTAACGTTGGGCCTGAAATACGTCAGATATCGCTGACTTGTCTGGTTTGTGCGATGACTCATGTTTTTTCCTCTATTTCATTTTCTTTTTCATGTTAAAATGTTCAAATGTTCATTGTCGATTCGCCTCATGTCCGCTCACCAGCAAAATCTTTGATCTCTTTCGCTCTTTACTTCTAACTCTACCGCTTACTGATTCATTGGTTCAGTATCTCTCAGCTGTAAGTTTTGTCCCCAAATTCTTATGCATTAATTGCTTCTTGTTGTTGGCTCAGCATTTTTTTTTTTTTTGAAATTTTGGTTTCCTCTTGGGTGTTAGTTCGGTTTCGGATGCGTTGCAGATTGTTTAGAAGGCGCAAAATTGGTGGAATTTATTGAAGCCTACTTCCTGATCAAGGTTCGGTGAGATTACTTCTTCCGATGTCTTTTTATGCAGCGGTACTTAAATTTAATTATTTTTTCACTTCTAGATCTGATTCATGATGTGTGTGATTATTCACCGGTTCTCATCAGTGAAAGTACTAGCAGAATTATTCATTCTGCTGCTATTTAGATTTTTGTTGGAACGGTTTCCCGGAGAAATGTATAATATTGTAGCGTTTTACCAACCCTAAGACCTCCTCTATTTTTCTTCTCAGGATATGTATTCATTTTCTTCTTTCATTCTGAAGCCCTTGAGCTGAAAATTCTTAAAGTTGGGGTTAATTTTTCTTATAACTGATTAATCGGATTGTTATCTCTGCTCTTTTTGCATTTTTAAGACTAAGAACTCAATTTTCCTATCAAATTGATACTTTCTGTCTTTTTTAGGCTATTCTTCCTGTTTTTTCCCTGATGTTGGTCATTGATTAAACCCATCAGATTTGCTTTCTCTCTATTACAATATTCTTTAGGATGCTATTAGTTTTTGTCAAATATCTCAACCTTTAAATGAGTGGATTCTAAAACAATTTAGTTAATGAGGTATTGAATGTCTTTTTATAGTAGACATTTTTTGCCTTTTTTGCTATTCTTTCAAGTCTCCTTAGTACTTATATCAAAATTTCAGATGAGGGAATGGTGAACCAAGTTAGTCACTGAAGTATTAGTTTTTATTTAGAACTAATTGGAGATCTCGGATCTCAACAATCAAAATAATATCTCAATATTTGAATAACTATTGTCAATAATCTATCTAATAACTAAGTTAGAGTGCTAGGTAGCAAATACAATTAAAATAGGAAATCTTGTAAATAGGAAAATAAACTAAATAGAAAATATTCAGAGAATACTTAAGAAAAGAAAATTAAATTTCTTTTTTTTTTAAAGTATAAAACTTCTCAAAATATTTGTTTTCTTTTATTGGTTCTGCATCATATCTCCTATTATTGAAATATGTCCATTTTAAGATTTTTCTATTAAAAAAAAGTCAACTTTAGGTTTTCCTTATCTACATCGTTATTCCAATATTCTTCAATGTCCCATCAGTAGTTTACTCAACCTTCTATCTAAATGATCTTTATAACAATTGAGCTACAAGGTATTTGATCTATGTTATTGGCATTGTAGTTCTCAATCAACTGAAACAACAGCTGTGTCGTTTCCTAGAAGATTTCTGTGATTTCATTCTTTCAATGTAACATCTCTTGATGCTACAAAATTCCTAATTTTTTAATAAGCTTTTTTATGTGTAAGTTTTGTTGGATTTTTTCTGTTCTGTTTGGATTTTTTAAGCTAAGAGCTCATATTTCCTTCAAATTGATGTGAATCCTTCCCCCTTTCCACCTCATGATAACTTATTATTCATTAGTCTGTTTATCAAGCTCACTCAAGTGCAAGATTCAGGCATTCTTTAAGGTACCATTAGTGCTTATCTTTGCCTTCTTTCTAGGTGATTTCTGAACAATTTAGTTAATGAGATATTTAACACTAACTTAGATATTTGCCATCTTCCATGAAACTGAAGAAGCCTGGTATTGCTCTTCTGAAAGGTTTTTTCATTTTAATAACCTCTGACCTTAGGATTTTTACTTTGTGAATTAATTTTTGCTCGTGGATAAGTTAGGAGTTCATAGTTCCTATCAAGTCGATAGAAATCTTTTCGCCTTTCCTTTTTTTTGGCTGATTATTTTTTATTTTTCACACACTCTAGATGATATTGGAGCAATTGTAGATATGCTCATTGACATGTGAAGCCGTTTTGTATATTGGTGGCACCCCCTTGATGCCATTTTTTAAATGCATTTTCTCTCTTTTATTTAAAAAAAAAGATCTGACAATTAGATTAGCTTGCATGTACTGTTGCAGCTACTGTTTAAGGTGCTATTATCTCATATCTCAACCTTCTAAATAAGTGAATTATAAAACAATATTGTCACTCAGGTATTATATTCTGTTTATGGTAAATTTTTTATGCACTTTTCAACTGTTATTTAAGGTCCGTTTAATACTCATCTCAATTTCCTGTTAAGTGAATTCTTAACAATCTATTTAGCGAGATCATATTTTAAGACTACCATAGGCACTGTAATGTTCCATCAACTGAAATAACCCATGTATTGTTCTCTCAAAAGATTTCCATCATTATCTTCTTTCACGGTAACAGCATTTGACCTTATTATGTTAAGCTTGCTCACATTCACTGTTTAGGTATTCCTCAATGTGCCATTAGTACTTGCCTCAAAACTATGCTATTTATTTGTAAAACAATTTGGTTACTTGGGTATTTTTATGTCTGTTCACGGTAGATTTTGCATGATCTGATGTTCTATTCTTCAAAATGCCAGCTTTTAGGGTAGGCATTGATTCCCACTGTCAAGGAATTTAAGGTCGCGTGGTGATCTCCTCCAAAAGAAAAAAAAAAAGTCAGATGGTGTCAATTCAAGTACAAAAAATTATATTCTTTCAAGAGAAAGTACAATAAATTATATTCTGATTATTTATGTGTACACATTAGTAAAAATTAGAGCAAGAAATTGAATAAGAAATGAACTAAATACAACCTTAAATCAGCCTCTTAACCAAGTGGTTCTATGACAATTTTTTTTATGTCCGCTGATGGTACATTTTCCTTGCCTATTATCCTGTTCTGTAAGGTGCAATTAGTACTCATCTCAATCTTTTATCAAATTATAAAAATAGTAAATTAATCAGGTGTTTGATATCTTTTGATGCTAGATTATGGATCTATGTGCTAATTATTTTACTGTGGGATAAAAGTGTTTGCACACCACATGGATATTACTTATATGTCATTTCTTGAGAACTTAAACTTTCGCAAAGAAATGGAGTACAGAATCTGTAATTTTTGTGTTTATTGTAGTTCTTGATGAGGATGTGATAGGTTAATCATGAAAGTTTAAGGATAGTTAGTAGATTGACCCCTCTTCCTTAGTAGATTGACCCCTCAAAAAGCTGGGAGAAAGTGATGCAGAAGGATAAGATCTTAATTCGGAATAACTTTTTTTATTAAGGTAATCTTTTGCAATTATTGCTATAATTTTTTATTTTTAAGATACTTAGATTATTTAATTAATATTTTAGTTTCTTTTTGGTTATATTTTAAAATTATAGGAAATAAAAATATTTTAGATTTTCTCTTTTATAATTTTCTTTACTAATCGAAATTCATTGTAACATTTAGTTTCCTTTGGGGTAGATTTTAAATATTATAGGAATTAAAATCTTTTATATATTTTTTTATTCCTTATTTACTGTAACTGATGCCTATTAAAGGTTACTAGCCATCAATCCAAAAAAAAAAAAAAAGAAGATGATGAATTAAGAATTCTTTTGTTGTGATTTTATTTCCTACTATCTCTCTCTTGTGTTTGCTTTCTAGTTGTTATTCTCTCTAATTTTGCTCGTTCATTCTACTTCTTCCTATATTTCTTCAAATTTAGCCCTAATTTCTTCTAGTCTATCTTTACTATTCTATTCTCTTCCCCATATTTTCATCTATTTATATACTTTCTAAGATAATTTTGGTTTTATAATTACTTGTCCTACATCAGTTGGTGTCAGAGTTAAGTTTTATCCCTACCTCTTGAACTTCTTATACTACAAGAAAAAACCTTTAAGTTCTCCCTCCACAAGACCTTATAGTCATTTTCAGAGTAAATTAGCTTCAACTCGACATGGAATCCAATAAACTTTTCTTTACAATCTATCATATGATCTACCCGATTACATGTGATGTACTTTACCAAGTTTTTGGCTCATATGGATGCATAGAGAGTATTGAGATGCATTCACGATTACTGCATATCTAATATCAATGTATTGAAAATGTTGTCTGTTCTAAAAGCTCTCTCAATAGTTGTTGCATATATTGATAGCTGTTGTCAGTTAAATGTTTGAGTGTGAATATTCTTATACTCAGAAGACAAGAAAGCATGGGATTTTCTGTAATAACTAAAGCCTGAGATTAAGAGTAGAACTGATATTTTCATATATTTGAAGATGGAAAATTTGAAGTTCCTTGTGAACCATCAGTGGTAGCTCGAGAGATATTCACACCAGTTGAAGTTGTTTTAATTCATGATGATGATGTTGAGGAACTTCCTTCTTTCAACAATCTTATTCTACCTCCTGCTGTTGAAGTAGTTCCCATCCATAACAAATGCATTTCTGGGATTGTTTTATTTCACTTTGTTTGTTTTGTGATTCCAAAGAACATACATTTCAACTTCTCTATGAAAATATCAAAACTCTCAACTTTTTGAAGATTATGAAGATTGTGTTTGAGCTTTTCCTATGTTGATGCTTCATCACTTTAAAACTTCAGGTCAAGATGGAATAGAATGATGTAGAACAAGAATTTCTTAATTTCTATTAAAGAAATCTTTTATAATTATTACTATGATTTTGTATTTTAAGTTATTATCATTATTTTGTATTTTTAAGTTATTACTATAATTTTGTATTTTTAAGTTGTTTGGATTATTTTGGCACTATAGTATTTTAGTTTCTTTTTAATTAGATTTTAGACGTTATAGGAAGTAGAATCTTTTAAATTTTCTCTTTTATAAGTTTCTTTATAGTTGAGATTTATTGTAATATTTATTCTTTTGTGTATATTTTAAATACCCGAGGAATTAGGATCTTTTAGATTTCTTCTCTTATAAATTTTCTTATTTATTTTAACTATTACCTATATAGAGGACAATAACTACCAATAAAAACAAAGAAAATATGATGACGAATTAAGAATTCTTTTGTTCGGATTTTAGTCCCTATTATCTCTCTCTTGTGTTTGTTCTTCTAGTTGTTGTTCCCTCTGATTTATTCCATTCATTCTATTTATCCTTATATTTCTTCACCTTTATCCCTAATTTCCTCTTGCCTATCTTTATTCTTCTATTCTCTCCCTCATATTTTCCTCAATTTCTCTACTTTGTAGGATAACTTTTGTTCTCCCATTACTTGTCCTACATGAGAAAGTTTGTGATATTTAAAGATTGAATGCACAAGCTTTTTATGTCTTGCAATGTACCAAAGTAATCATTATTAGGTCTCTAGGAGGATATACCGAATAAATGGATGCATGGATTCGTTGCTGTTATTAAGAATGTATTCATTGTTAGAATAAATGGATGCATGGATTCGTTGCTGTTGTTAAGAATGTATTCATTGTTAGCTATTTATTTTTCTTGGTTGACGAGCCATCCTTTCTGCAGGTATTACTTTGTGCATTTGTTTTTTCGTATTTAAATATCCTGTTCGGTTCCTAATAGACATCTGTCTGTTACTCTGTGGATTCAGTGTTTATGATGGCACAAATAATTGTATATTTAAAAGGGATGTATTAGCCTAGATGTTACTTGCTAGAACCCCCTCCCTTATCTTTTTTGTCTTTCCTGATAAATTATTTACTTAGGCTCTGTATGATCTGACCAAATAGATCTTATCTATTATTTGCAGAGGAATCTTTTTAACCTAGCCACATGAAAACCAAAAAAATTTCGTTACTAATTTCTGCATGTTCAGTTGACCTATATGCGTTCTGTAAAACATTCTCTTTGATAGCTTTTCCTGATTTGTTGAACTTCAGGAGGCTTGGACCTACATACTGAATTAGTGGAGAGTGCATTAATTTACTATTTAATCCCAGTGTGGCAAAGTACATTTTTATGCATAGCTGGGCAATGCGATAGAGAAACCATGGGTGATGGCAATAGCAATAGTAGAGGTATCACAAACAGTGGGACTGCCTCTGCCAACAATAGCAATGAGAAACCGGAGTGGCTTCAACAGTATAATCTTATTGGCAAGATCGGTGAAGGCACCTACGGTCTTGTGTTCCTGGCAAGAACCAAATCTCCAACTAATCGTGGAAGACCCATTGCCATTAAGAAGTTTAAGCAATCAAAGGATGGTGATGGTGTTTCCCCCACTGCCATCCGAGAAATTATGTTACTTCGGGAGATTTCACATGAAAATGTTGTGAAGCTTGTGAATGTGCACATCAATCATGCCGACATGTCTCTCTATCTAGCTTTTGATTATGCTGAATATGATCTTTACGAGATTATTAGGCATCATAGAGATAAAGTTAACCATTTAATTAATCAGTACACTGTTAAATCATTGCTCTGGCAGTTGCTTAATGGACTAAATTATCTCCACAGTAATTGGATCATACATCGAGATCTAAAGCCATCTAATATCTTGGTTATGGGCGAAGGGGATGAACAAGGAATTGTCAAAATTGCTGATTTTGGACTTGCAAGAATATATCAAGCTCCATTGAAGCCATTAGCTGAGAACGGAGTTGTGGTAACTATCTGGTATCGTGCACCTGAGCTGCTGCTTGGGGCAAAGCATTATACTAGTGCTGTTGATATGTGGGCTGTGGGATGCATTTTTGCTGAACTTTTGACTTTGAAGCCCCTATTTCAAGGAGCAGAAGCCAAATCCACACAAAATCCTTTTCAGCTAGATCAACTTGATAAGATATTCAAGATCTTGGGTCATCCTACAATAGAGAAGTGGCCAACCCTTGCAAATCTTCCACATTGGCAATCTGACACACAACATATCCAAGGGCGCAAGTATGACAATGCTGGACTTAATAGTGTGGTTCCTCTCTCTCCAAAAAGTCCTGCATATGACCTTCTATCAAAGATGCTGGAATATGATCCACGAAAGCGTATTACTGCAGCGCAGGCTCTAGAGCATGAGTACTTTCGTATTGAGCCTCTTCCAGGGCGCAACGCACTGGTACCCAACCAACCTGGAGAAAAAATCGTGAATTATCCTACTCGTCCTGTG